TAGAATTTTTCTCTGCTGTAAGATAATAGCAGATGGGGGAATACCCGACTCTCTGTGTAGCGCCGTTTTTGGTGTAGTTCGCCACACCGGTAGCGCAGCTCGAACTGCCTTCAAGATAGTGCTGTCGAGGAGATCAGTGTGCCAGCCTACTCCTGTGCCAACCATTTTGTCCCGCTGGGTTGTGATTCCGGTGAGACCTGGCCACCACGCTTCGGCTCCATATAGTGCCGTACTTAGGACACAGGACTGCACTGCTTTAATCATCGGTCCCGGAGCTGCGCCATGCTGGACCGAATTTATCCGTCGTATAGACTGTGTTATACGTTGCGCCTTCCCGCATCATTCCTGAACGTGTTGCTTGAAGTTGAGTTGAGAATCTAGCCATACTCCCAGCCATCTCACGTACGGGGACGGGGCTATGCAGTGGCCTTGGATCTGGACAGCTAGACCTGTGGTGTTCAGCTTTTTCCTTCGCCCACCTCCAATTGACAGTAGTTCAGACTTTGCCGGGTCAAAGTCTATCTGGTTTTCGCTCGCTAATTGGACGAGTTTGTCGACTTCTTTCTGGGCTTCGGCCACTGCTTCAGACGCCATGAAGTCTGAAGATGATCAGCGATAGATTACAACAATATCCACTCTACAGTTTTCATCCACAGGGATCAAGGGTAGTTGATACAACCAAGGAGGCAATTAAGCGACCCCAACTGCAAGAGGGATAGAAAGTATGGAAAGGAGGGCAAGACTGAACACCTGTACGCGATGTCCTCTACGAACCTCGGAGTGAAATATTCTCCCACAGCCAAGTTCAGTCAAATTTCGCAATATCAAAGAAGTTGGCCCACGAGGCAAAAATTCGAATTACTCCACCATGTCAATCTTTCACTCCCAAAGAGTCCGATTCGCAACTAAGCTTCATCAAGTCTACAAGTACGACCTAGTACATCCTCGTTTCAATGACCACACCTCTTGTCGACTTTCTCTGGCCTCAGCCGGTCACCAAATACACCCCCACGCCGATATTTATACCCGACGGAGGAAGCAAAGCGTGGAGCACAAATCTGAGAGATATCTCTTTGGGACGGACGTGAGAGGGATCAGGACAAGTTTACAAGATGATGCAGAAGAGGGATACGTTTTCGACGGGCGTGAAATTTCGAATTTTGGCATGGAGTTTTACGAATTGAGCTTTGTGCGCGCCAAGGCTTCGCTTGTGAGAGTGCAGCTCACACTATAAAAACAAGCAGACGATGGAAGGTGTTGTGGTCCGCCTCCTGGTGGTGTTCTCTGTTATAGTTTGAGTAGCCTGGGCACCTACTCCACTTGGGATGGAGACACCTCAGATCACATATCGCGCGGAGAAAAGTTGAAAGATGATGGAGGCATGTCTGGATCACTCAGGGTTTTTGAGACGTTCCCCTGGGTGGGTATTCACGGATGAGGGTTGACTTGTGGTGAAGAAAAAGCCACGATAACTTCGCAGTGGTACTTGCAAATGAAATCTGAGGCATGAGTGCTCTTCCTTTACGTTGAATCATCTATTCTGTACTTTTCTTTGATATTGTGTCAAAGCTAGATAGCTGGATACGCAATTAAAATCTGATGCAAAAAAAAAAAAAGGTATTGAAAGGCTGAGGGCGATGGATAGGGAGACGTCACCTTGTGAAAAGAATACTGATAGGTATGGGAGAATTCAATAGATCACTTGGACAGAGTAAGATAATTGATGGTGAATTGTATTTGTGGATGATGGATTTCAGTGTGTAGCGATCAGGAGGTAATATTGATCAGACTCTAAGGGGTTAACTTAGCTGGTGCACGTTTATCCCCTGATGGTGTGTGCAGTTATGAACTCGGATTTTTACAACAGAAAGAACGTGTCTTTGGGTTCCAGAGCAATACCTAACTCGCCTTCAGAAGAGGATCTTCAGCCTGCCGACATCAGAAGCGCCTGGCCAGCTTTAACAACCGAGGATTACTGTTCCCCTGCGTGGGTATTCACGGATGAGGGTTGACCTGGGGTGAAGAGAAAGCCACCATAACTTCGCAGTGGTACTTGCAAATGAAATCTGAGGCATGAGTGCTCCTCTTGTAAATTGAGTCATCTTTTCTGTATTTTTCTTTCATATTGTGTCATAGCTAGATAGCTGCATACGCAATTAAAATCTGTTGCAAAAGAAAAAAAAAGAAAAAGAAAAACTGAGGATTACGATAGCTACCGCTAGGGCCAAATATGATGAGGAAAAGGCGAGGCAGATAAATTATTGGCTTAGAAATCTTCACGCAGGGAAACTCTGTGTCTATTCGGACGGGTCATCGATCGGTCCAGCGTACTCAGCCTATGGCTATGTCGTCTATATGGACAGAAAACTTATAGTGAGCGGTTGAAGTTTTCCTCGAGGAGCAGAGGTCTTTGGCGCAGAAATCGCCAGGGCAGCCCGAGACCTAGGGGCAGTGATGAAAATTTGAGGCAGTATAGGTGTCAAGGAGCTTCTCGAAAATCAGGACGCGGTCAGAGCCCTGGAAAGTTGCAGAATAAGTTCCTCACAGTCCAAGGTAAGGAATTTGATGGAACTAGGTAAGGCTCAACTTGCCATAGACAACCACTGGGTTCCGGCACACTGTTACATTGAAGGAAACGAAAAGGTCGATGCGATGGCAAAGTTAGCCTTTGCATCGAAAACTGGGGAAGAAAATTTACAAGACCACAGTGCATTTTCGAGGAACCTTTTGAAGTCCTGAAATTTGCAGCGCTAGACCGCCGAGTCACATCTCGCACATAGAAACTTGCTGAAGGTTGGTGGCATAAGAGCAGATCTGACAGATATGAAGATCTGGACTTACTGATGCGAAGGGAGCGCCCTCCGGAGCTAGATTTACCTCGATGGGCACATCATCGCCTCATTGCGGCAACGACTGAGTATGATGACTTCAACAGTTATCACAGATGGTTATAACACCAGAACGAAAAAATGCGCTGGAGATACGGACCAAAAAACGGCCATGTCATTTTGCATGGTGTCACCTATCTATCTTGAAATGGAGGACAGAAACGAAGGAAACATGACCTATAATAAAATAAATGATAGTGCAAGAATAATGGCAGATATTCTGGCGTATTTTAAGCTGTAACGAAATGTCATAGCAGGATTAAATCGGGAACCAGGGGTCTAAAGGATAACTGTAATACTTCTTGGGGCTGTTCAGTATGGCACGAGGATTAAAGTGTAGTGCAGGGCACTAGCACCTTCAAAATGGTCGTTTCATCTATTTTTAAAGGGGGAATATTCTCAACACCTGTCAGTAGTGTCCCCTACGAACCTCCAGCTCTCACTGTAGAGCCTGCAGATCCGAGATTGAGCAACAAAGTCCTCAATTCGACGAGGATTCCCAATCGCTTTCGCGGTCTGTCTCGTCTGTATCGTCTTCATCACTCAATACATCCTTCCATCACCATTATCATGAAGCCAACCACGATCAGATCAGATGGTAGGGTCGGAGCCCTACTCTTCACCAACCCTTGATCATGGAGGAGATGCCATCCAATGAGTTTCTGGAGCGTACCCAGCACCCGATACGAAGATGGCGGATGGGATCAAGACGGCCTCGACTGTTACAAAGAATGGAGACATAGATGAATATGCGCACCTCATGTGGTCCCAGTATCTAGGCCTCGCCTGGCTAGGGCTGCAGTTTTTTGAGACCTTTTCCCGCGCACGCAGTTTCCATTGCTACCTTTTTTTTTCTTTTTTTTTGGGTAGAAGGTAAGGTAAAAAAGGTGGCAGAATTCCACGGGTAAATACTGAGCTGAATGGCTATTCATTAAGGGGAATATATCAATGATCTTTCAAGTAATAAAAGAGGATAGGAGCTCTGTACAAGGTGTGACCTGGGTCAGAGAGGAGCCCAGTGTGCTAGATAGTCATAGACTCAAGTAGTACAATATAAACTCAGACAATCTGTTTTTAAATTTTATGTTTCTAGTTTCTATAGAACAATGATGTAGGTGGCGAAGAGTCTCACATAGATCTGGACTACCCGTGCCATGCCCTCTAGGTGCTGGGGTAGCACCCGGTCACGATATAAATATCATCACCCTCAATGACAAAAAACTCGGTCGATTTAAGTCCTTCACAGTCATAGACTCAGTAGGGACTTGAATTCAATTCAATTCTATTCTATTCGGTCGATTTTTGCAAGAATTCGATCCGCGAAGCAATGGCTCAAGATCTCCAACCATATAAATTTACTCTCAAAAGGACCAGAAGCTAACCGAATTTCAAGTCTACGAGTAGGACATGAAAACCTGATATGACAGATCACACTTGCAATCAATTCAGTCTCTCGAAATAGGTAGCCTCAAATCACACTTCTGCTACGCTACCTACGCCCGCATCTCTTAAATCGTGACGCACAAATGTAGATAGATAGGATTTTGAAAATTTCTTGAGTAAATAGACACAGATAGAATCTGAGCGGGCTTGACACTTGTCCCCTTGAAGTAAGAGACTATTAGTTCTAATCTAGTAAGACGTATCTATATTTATTGTGGCTCTTCGGTAGAATGAGATCATACAAGGTTGTTCCAAAAGCAAAAGGTAACCATGGTTCTCTTTGGCGAGTGAATTCGATTGACGGTAGAAAAGCCCCTACTAAAGACATTCTACATGATTGAGGGGAATACGGCTCGCGTACAATCTTTTGCCTTAATCCAATATTGGATTTCACCAAATGTTTCTGTGAAGACCTTGGGTCTCTTGATAGAGTTGGATAGTAAGTGCGAACACAATTCATAACTCCATGCATGACACGTCTCAGAGGAACTAGTGTCTGTGAGAGCTTGGGCCTCAGAAACCTTTCGCTAAGGGAGTGTCTGGCTACGCTGACTCTTACTCCCTTCCGCGCATGTAGTGGTTGCAACCTTCTAAATTGACGGGATTATTCAAAATAAGGTATCATTGTACACAACAACTAAAGCCACGCCACAAAACTCTTTCCGCAACATGGCGACTGAATATCCTTTGCTCAAGGTTCCCGACCTCAAGAAGCTTCTACAAGAACGCGGACTCGCTGTCTCGGGCAACAAGGCTGAGCTCATCTCGAGATTAGTGGCGGATGATAAGAAGTCTAAGAGTAATGCAGGTAAGTTGTACTTCTAGTATTTTGGTAAGCGATCATTAAAAATCTGTCTTGGCTAATACTATTCTTAACGGCAAAGATGAGATTGATTGGGACGAGGATGACAAGGCAACGTCTTCTGGGCCCGTGCCTCCATTTGAAGAAATGGTATTTGCGCTCTAACTTGACACCATTATACGAAAGCTAAGATAACTACTTTAGGCTCAAAGTGAAATTACCGTGATCCAGGTAGAAAAAGTGGAGGAAATACCTGAAAAGGCCGATGATACTTTCGAAGTCCCGAAGCCTGAAGAAACCGTAGATGCACCGGAATCTATCTTACCAGTCTACACGATAGGTCTTGAAGATAGTGATATGATCCAGGAAGCAGAAAAACGCGCAGCTCGTGCCAAACGTTTCGGAATTTCCCAAGATGAAGAAGCAATAAAATTAGCTGAACGTGCAAGGAAATTTGGAATCAAAGATAATGACGGTAGTATTCAAGGTTTAGATAATGCATTGCCAGAGCGCAAGCCGAAGCGAGTCCGAGAAGAGAGAGGCTACAGAACAAATTCGCGCTCGGAGAAGCGTCAGGCATCTAACAACCGAGCTAAAGTTAACCCAAAAAATAAGACGGATTCAAATAAGTTGGCGCCAGTCGCTTCTGACGATCCTGTAGAAAAATCAAAGGCAGAGGCTAGGGCAAAACGATTTGCTAGACCAGTAGTGTCCTAAAAAGTAGATATAAAAGACGTGACCTGAGGATTTCCAGAGAAAAATATTGTGCTGGCAGGACGAAAGAGTCGATAAATGAGATTTATAATGTAAAATTAGTGGTACCTCGCACCCACTGAAATAAGATCATTCGGATATGGTGGGAAATCTGATATTTGAAAGGCCATGGCATAACCGGAAATTTATCTTGTATGATTTTAAAGCTCGTTCAGCTGGTTGCCGATACTTCCATTTGCTTGTTTGTTAGTCCTCCTCCCGCGAAGACTCTCATTAATGCCAATAGGAAAAGAAGAGATTCTGCTTTTTCTAGCTCCACCCAGATCAGTTCTCTTTGAGACTATGAAACGATGAAATGAGGCTCATACACGGTTTAATATAAATACACTTTTATACGGGCAGATCCTGATCACTATGAAACCAGGTACTGAGAAGCTTAGGTCAACAGTGTAAAAGATCCACAAGTTGACGCACGTTGCAGCTTTATTCTTGACTTGTGTCTGCCCTGCCAGTGTACGCGGTGCCACACTCGATTTTCCTTACACTGCACTAACCATGCTCAGAAAAAAAAGTCAATAGTACATAAGATTCCCAGATATAACTGACTCGACTTTATGAAACTTCTGTAGTGCATAGATAAACATTTGAACTTTACCAAATCACGTTTAACAAGTTATTCAACAAGGCATCATTTTTCAGTTGGCCACAATGATGTTATGACGGATCAAAAATTACAGGGTTATGTGTGCATGGCAACCAAAATTTACGACTATGAACTTTGGATAAATCTTTTTTGTGCGCAAATAACCTGACCATCACAACAAAGTTTTTCAAATACAGATATGGCTGGTCCTGGTCAAGGTGATGACTATGGTCTAATAATTACAGGTACATAGACTAAATTACTGTCGAATTACGATAAAAAAATTTAAAGGATGGAACCTCACGAAGATGATTGTGAATGTAAAGGCCGCGGAATTCCAGTAATCGGCCGCATGTACATAATCATGACGGTGAAATGCAGAATAATCCCAAGCCTGATTTAGAAGAGGACAGAAGTCACTAGAATAAAGAGGGACCTGGGAATGAAGAGCCACTTACTGCCTTTTTAGGTTTGGCAATAGAGCGGTACATTGATACATCATTTTAGCTGGATCTCCCAATAATGGCGTAGATAATTATGGTTACGAACAATTCAAGCTCCTTCTACTTCAAGCACAAGTAGTAACTACAGCGTAACGAAGGTTTATATGAGTAACTAAGAATTTTGGGGCAAAAAAAGACCCAAAATTTTTGTTGATAAGTCTTGACAAGTACAAATCTTCAGATTTAGCTTCAGAGCCTGCAGAACCGATATAGGCCCGAACACTATCCAGGAGGATTTCGATTGACAACGGATCCACGATACTTGCCAGTTATCAAGATATCATAGAGAGACTAGTCTTGACTATTATAAAGGTTACAATCCTTTTAGAGACCTTGTCGAAATTTTATCACCAATTTCGATTTGGCCTGAGGCGCAAATAATGTAAGCGGAGGAGGAAGGTAGATTTGATTTAATTCTTATACTGTCGATTGGCGTTTAAAAATATGAGGAAAAATCAAGGAGGTAAAGAGTGCTACTAGTATTTACAAGTATGAAGTGCCTGGCTTGCTAGTTTACTCGAATTTCTTTGGAGGGTATTGAAATATAACCCACTACTTCATTCATGGAATGGTTGGTAGAGGATAGCTTATGCAATCATGAAGTATAAAAAGTTCTTAATTCGACTACTATTCTTAACAACGGTATCAGCATCCTTTTAATTCCAATAGATAGCCCTTGCGGAATCTCCTATCAGCAGCAGTAAACAACGCTATTACAGGGTATACGCGGAGGAAAAGACTGAACACCTATACGCGGTGCCCCCTACGGACCTGGGAGTGAAATATTGTCCCAGAGCTAAGCTAAGTCAAATATCGCAATATCAAAGAAGTTGGCTCACGAGGCAATGATTCAAGACTCCACCAAATCAATTTCTCCAACCTAATGATATCAATCCCCACCGAAACCTCATCAAGTTTACAAGTACAACATGGTACACACTAAAGTTAATGACCACACCTGACATCGACTATTATCAGCCTCAGCAGACCACAAGATATACGCCCACGCCGATGTATATACCTGGCGCAGGAAAAAAGTGTGGCGCACAAATCTATGAGACAGGTCTATGGGATGGGCGTGAGAGAAATAAAGACAAAATTGAAAGTTGATGTAGAGGATGTATACAGTCTCGACAGATATCAAATTTTGAATTTAGGCAAGGAGTTCAACAAATTTAGCTCCGTGTATGCCAAGACGTCAGTTGTGAGAGTGTGGGTGACACTATAAGTACCGTCGCAGTTGGATGTAGTGGTGTTATTTCGTCTTGGCCGGTCTTCCAAGTAGGTTCTGGATAGCTTTGACACATATCTCACTCGAGACAGGAGATGGCTGGTTCTAATCCGGCAAAACACGACCACTTTTCTCGCGGCGCTGGTATACATGGATGACGAAGGCAGGCTTGGATAACCAAAGGGCTTTAAATATCCTTTGGTGGGTACTTACGGAGGAGGGTCGACTGTTTGTGTAAGCAAACATACCCTCGCAATGGTATTTACGAATGAAATCCAGAGTTTGAGTGTATCCAACGTCAACAGAGTCATCCAACATGTAAACATAGCACTGGTCATGTGTCATAGCTAGACACCTGAATTCACATTAAATGATTTAAAAAAAAAGTAAAAAAAGGGCATATGCAATTTACGTTCGCCAAAAACCAGTCGGTTGAGACTACTTTTTATCGAGCCTAGTTGGATCGACAAAGTAGATCCCAACTCAGAAATAAAAGAGAGCCCAATCAAACCCTTCATCAATAACTGCCATTAACTATCACCTGACTTATCTCTGTGCTCCACATTTCCAACTGAGGGTAACTTTGTTCTCGGATTTATTCCTGAAGCTGGTATATACAGAACCCGGAATCCAGTGGCTTCCACGGGTTTTCTTAGTACTTTGCAAATGACAATCGTCTCGTTTATTGTAATGGGAATGCGGTGAAGGGCAAAAGATCCCTCAAAGCGTACGATAGAATGAGGATTGATTTGGGCTGCAACTGAATGAAGGGAGCTACAAAGAAAGGGAAGTTGAGGTTATGCTACCCAAGGTATGATAATCCTCGACTTCAAGGTAGAAAGGATCTCTACGTCTCACATGGTGATCGGCCGAATAAGGACAACGATAACAATTAAAGAATCAAAATCTTCGAAATTCATTTGGTGAATGATCATGAGCATGAGTATACTGGGCTCTGGTGATCGATTTGATTGATAGTACAGCTTTCTTGAATTTTCAAAAGTGTAAATATATCTGATGTAAAGAATTTATCAAGGGGTAGTATTTCATCTGTTTGTGTAAACTAAGCCAATCAGTTCACAGATTTCATCCGTAAAAGGAGGGCTCTAAAGTCAATATTTACAACATAATACCGTGTACCACGTATATTTATGAGAGTCGAACTTTAAATTAAACATTTGACATTAGTCGTACGTCACTGCAAAAAAGTTCAAAACTGATCGGATACTACACAAATTATATGACCTCTAGGTACTCTGGGCTCGTGATTAGACCAAAGTGCGGATCGTCCCGTTCAAGGGTTACAGTACCCGGGCCTTGACACCCACATAAGATAACCTAATCGGCTGGCTGGTCATTACTGTATTTCTGGAGACAATAATTAAATAGTACATGGGCCTCCTGTCTGACCCAGGCCACACATTGCACAGCGCCCATACCCTCTTTTGTCACTTCAAAGATCATTGGTCTATTGCCCGTGATGAATAGCCATTCAGCTCATTATTTACCCGTGGAATTCAGCCACCTTTTCCATGAAATCTTCCACTCAAATAAAATGGTAGCAACGGAAACTGCGTGCGCGGGAATTTCTTTTAAGGTCTGTAGCTCCAGTCAGGCAAGGCCTAGATACCCTGACAAGATGAGGTACGCATATTCATCTATGTCTCTCTTCTTTGTAACGTTAGCGGTCAACTTGATCTAATTCACCATCTCGGTATTGGGTGCTGGGCACGCTCCGTAAACTCATCGAATGGCTTCTCTATATCCAAGAGTGGGTGATGTGTAGGGCTTCGACCCTAACATCTGATCCGATCGTGGTGACGGGGGGTGCGTTGAGAGATGGAGACGATACAGACTGCGAGAGCGATTGGGAAACCTCATCTAGGTAAGGACAAGGGCTTTACTCAATATCTTCTGTAGCGTCTAAAGTGAGAGCTGGAGGGTTGTAGGGAACAACACTAACAGGTATTGAGTTTTCGTCGCCCAACAACTATTAATTTAGATCTTCATAGAATAAAGCAATGAAAAGTTTTCAATGTCAATATTTCTACTGGCAGATTCAGCTTGTGCGAGCATTTTCCAGAATCTATTATCAATGACTAGACCACTAGTTTATCTTTGTCCTTTCCTGTGAAGTACTACTACGCACTAGTATATTAAAGATAAAAACAAATTTCAACGCAGCGCGTTGGTTACAAGAAGTCTCTGACTCTTTGTAATTTCGGATTTATCGATCATTTCTGGGGCTACAGCATAGGAATTTATAGATCTTATCGGCGGCGTCGGAGGGAGTCTTGAAAGGATTACTTTGTCCAATGGACCTCGGAAATCTGCCTGAACTTGGGCATCGATCTAGGCGTTTACGATTCGAGATGGACGACTTGATAGCAACGGTAAAGAGAGGCCTTTCCCAAATTAGCTCGGGCTAGATTTCAAGAGGGCAGGTCTGAAGCACGAGGAGCAACTGACACGGTCCGATGCAAGTATATTTCCAGGCTGAATTAATCCCCCCAAACTACCGCAGACGAGCAACGCATCTGAACATTCAATCGTCCAGAGGATTACTTCTGATATAAGCTTGTTCAGTGAGGCTGTTGTAATCCTAGTCTGCGCAAGGAAGCAAGGG